TCGCGTGATACTAAGTTTGCTTTAAAAAAAAAGATCCTATTTTACTTTATACTAAATTTACGTTAAAAAAAAAGTCCTATTTTGCTATATTAAAGATGAACGAAACCCATGTTCAGTACAAGAAGCATCTAAATGAAAAACTACAAATTTACGTAACTCATCTTAACTATTATTCTGCCCAGAAAATAAGACAGAGTGGTTCAATTAGAAATTAAATTCTTCCAAAATTCACTCGAAATATATGTAAAAATAAGTAATAGTTTTTTTTTAACTTTATTGAATATTTAACCAATTATGATGATGTAATTAAAATGTCGCGTTTCCTAACGACACAAAAAAATATATTGAATTTTCAATTTTATTATACATAAGTTTCGTTATTAATGTGTTTTGTTATACAGAAATTTACTTTAAAACACATTTAAACATTTACATACACCACGAATATTTATTAAGAGTATATACTTTCCATTTTCGCAATAAAAACCAATACATGAATTATTTGTATTTTAAAGAAAATATAATAATTTTATTTTAGATATATATATATATATTAATTTAGCCTATGAATTTTATAGTAGAATTTTTCAAAGTATAAAAATCAGAAGTTTGGTCAACAGGAGATATATCTGTTGGTGATTCATTAGGAAAGTGCCAATGTACGACAATCGGTGGTATTAAAGTATAGGATTTGATTTTTTTTGCTTGAATCAATTTAACAATCTCTTGATCAATTGGATATTTTGTCGGATTACGAAGAGCTTCTACTAATTTATGAGCTCCAGCACGTGAAACCGCATAGGCATATGTGCAATATGGCTTCTCAGATTTATATAATTTATAAGATGAAATATCATTTTGGTTTACTATTATAGGTTCGCTAGATTTTCCTTCTAAATTGTTACAATGTCCGAGATATAAAAGTTCCCAATCATTAGGTAAACTTTGATGTACTTCTGTCATAATCAGTGAAATATTAACTTCAATGTCTATATCATCTTCTAAAACCAATCCACTACCCTGATCACGATCAATAATTGATTTATAAATGTTATAGTGAGTAACATAATGTGCTTTTTCTGAAGGTTTTAATTCGCTACTTGGATTAAGTTCATTAAGCTGATGAGTACTATTATCAAGAATAGCATGCCAAATTTCCTTATCAAAAAATAATCTAGCTGATAAAGATTCTAATTTTTCAAGTCGATCTGGTCGATCTGGATGATTAACAGCGTATATATAATTAAATCCAAAAGTAGTATTTGATTCTTTAAGAATCCCTAAATAATGTAAAGCGGAATTCTTTAAGAAATAGAAATCCAAAGCTTTTTGACCAGGAGAGATATCTGATGGATTATTAGGAGAACGCCATTGTACAATAAGCGGTGGCATTATAGTATATGCATTAAGATATTTTTTACCAACCATGTCAACTAATTCAAGATCAATTGGATTTTTTAGTTCTTCAGTAAGTCTTTCTAATAGCTTACGGATACCGGCACGCGAAAGAGCATAAGCGTGTGTACAATACGGCATTTTTGAATTATACAATTTATAAGATGGAGAAATGTTATTCTTGTCCTCTATAGGATCACCCCAACCTTCCCAATTACTACAAAAGCCAAGATATAAGATTTCCCAATCTGAAGGTACAATTTGATGTATATCGGTCATAATAGAAGCGATATTAAGTTCTATATCTATATCATCTTCTAAAATTAAAGCACTTTCATATCCACGTTCTTCAATTAATTTGTAGGTTCTATAATGACTAAGATAACAGGCCTTATGAGTTGAACGCAATCCAGATCTTGGATCAACTTGTGCTTCTTCGTCATCTTTAGAAACTGCGGGAATAAATTCAATGTCTAAATTAAATTTATTCGCCAAAGTTTCTAATTTTTTGCGCCTATCTGGTCGACTTAAAAGGTTAATGACGTAAATGTGACCAAAACCAAGGGTGGAATTTGATTCAAAAGTGAGTCCAAGGGAATATAAAGTAGAATCTTTCAAACTTGGTATATCGAAAGTTTTTCGACCGGGATACTCATTCGATTCATCATAAATGCGCCATCGTGAGATAACTGGTGGTATAATAGTATATGAAGTAATTATTTCTTGTTCAACCATGTTAACCAATCCAAGATCGATTAGTTTTGATGGTTTTGCAAGGTTTTGTAAAATTTTGATAGCACCAACATATGAAACGGCATATGCATGCGTACAATAAGGTTTCTTAGATTTAAATAATTTGTATTCAGAAGATTCATCGTTATTATCAGATAAAAATGCACTAGAATCACCTTCTAATTCACTACAATGACCAAGATATAAAATTTCCCAATCAGCAGGTAAATTACGACGAGTATTAGTCATAATTGATACGATATTAAGTTCAAAATCTATATCATCTTCTAAAATTAATGCACTATCATATCCATAATCAACAATTGATTGATAAACCATATAATGACTAAGGTAATGAGCTGATTCAGATGGTGCCAATGAATTATGTGGATTAAATTTTTTCACAGCATCGAAATTTGATTGAGAAATTGCTGGAGAAAATTCGAAATTTAAATTTAATTTTTTTTCTATACTTTCTAACTTTTTACGTTTATCTGGTCGTTCTGGATCATTAATAACATAAATCTTATCAAAGCCGAGAGTAGAATTTAAAGGTTTTGATTTGTCGCTAATTAAATTTATGACAGATTTCTTCAAAGAGTAAAGACCATA